CCAGCGGCAGCCCAGCTGGTCCTCAGAGAAGGTGAACAAGCAGGCGGTGTTTGAGTTTGAGTCAGCTGCCTGGCAGTTCATGGTGAGCACTCTGCACGTGGCCAAGAGCTACCGACCAAAGCAGCTCTGGGGGTTCTACCTCTTCCCTGACTGCTACAACCATGACTACAGCAAGAACAAGGAGAGCTACACCGGGCAGTGCCCAGATGTGGAGAAGACACGCAACGACCAGCTGGCATGGCTCTGGAGGGAGAGTAAGGCACTCTACCCCTCCATCTACCTCGACCCACTCCTGGCCTCCACCCCCAACAGCCGGAAGTTTGTGCGGGCACGGGTGATGGAGGCCATGCGCATCTCGCAGCAGCACCATGATGGCTACTCCCTGCCTGTCTTTGTATACACCCGGCCCACCTATACCCGCAAGCTGGACCTGCTCAGCCAGGTAGGGCTGCACCACTGGGACATCCTCATCGCAGGACCTGGGTACCTGGGGCTCTGGTATCGGCTGAAGTGGTCCTTCTGCCCATGTCCTGTCTTGCTCCCCTGGAGCAGGTTGGCTCTGGAGGCTGGTGTCTGCCCTTATGGTGCTACTGGCACTCCATGGTTTGGCTGTCTCTGTGTGGGGGTGTGGAGTAGTGCCCTTTGGCATGGCCCTTTGATATGAGCCAACAGCCCCTGTGTTGTGCTAGCTTAGCACCTGGGGAGGGCTGGTGGTGGTGGTGGGGAGCCTTGTCCCCAAGGAGCTGGGATAGTCCCTTCTTCCCTGTGGCCTGGAGCAGAGATGGGGTCTTGCTTCTCTGACTCCACAGTGGGCTGTTTAGGGTGCACCATGCTGGCAAGATGGGTGCTGTGTGGGGTCTGTTGACACTAACTGGGTTCTGTCCCTTCAGATGGACCTGATCTCCACCATTGGAGAGAGTGCGGCACTAGGTGCAGCTGGAGCCATTTTCTGGGGTGATGCAGACTACACCAAAAACCGGGTAGGCTGGGGATAAATGTGCTTCTGGGGAGGTAGCTGGGGTGGGGTGGGGGGGTGTCACCTGTCCCCAGAGGGAGAGTGGCTGCTTGAGTGTCCTCCCCACCTGGGGTGCTTCTTTCCTGGGGTCACTCTAACATGCCTCCCTTCCCTAGGACTCATGCCAGGTCATCAAGGACTACCTGGAGGGTGACCTGGGCCGTTACATCACGAACGTCACAACGGCGGCACAGCTTTGCAGCACCATGCTGTGCTAGGGCCGGGGCCGCTGCCTGCGCCAGGACAGCACCGCCGACGTCTTCCTCCACCTCAACTCCACCAGCTTCCAGCTGCGGCGCCGGGACAGGGACCACCCCCAGAAAA